GACAATAACCACGCCCACATTCCATATAACGGTAATTTAGAAAAATACGAAATCCTCGATAAATCAGTAAATATTAAAGCTAATTTATTCAAAATTGATGGTTGCAACAATTTTTTACCAAGAAATACGCTTATGGTACAATTTTGGAAAATGGGCGTGGCACCGCCCACTTATGATCACATATATGTATCTCGCTAACCGTTCGAGCAATTTGAACCAAACTCGGTGTGGTTATTGTGCTTGCCACATAAAAGCAAAGCGTTGAAAATTATTGAAATCGGACTTATATTACGACCGCTTTTCATATAACGGTATATTTCAGAAATGCTTGAAACTGCAATATTTCGAAATTTAAGGACACTAATTTACTTAAAATTTATACACCCCGGCATATCGTGTAGCGGTAGCTTTCGGAAAGGTAGAAAACATATATTTAATAATTGCGCCGGGTATTTAAATGAATTCGAACGCCGAATAGATTTCACAGATTGTTATAGATAATTTAATATAAAGCGAAGGGCATAAAGGCAATAAAGCGGGAATTTAACTGCATATTTCACAACGTATCCGTTATTAAATACAAATGCTTAGAAATATACATACTTTTGTATATATGTACCTAAATGAGTCACACAATTACATATGTATGTACATATAAAGATACATATCACTCATTTGCTTCAAGAGTAAAACTGTATGAGAAATGCGCGCTTGAAGTTTTTGAGACACGAATACAAGAAAATTTATATAAACATTTGCTGTTAAAAAATTGTAAGGCCTTCAAAAGATAGCTTCAGGCATGCTGTACAGACCCATATTTTTTATAAAAATTGTACAAAAAATTTTTGAGAAAATCTTCTTCTATGTTGATTAAAAATTTCATAGCTGCATCGATTAAAAATAGCTCATTAAAAAAAAGGTGTCTTAATTTTTACTATGTTGCGTATGTAAACTGTAAACTTTATCTATCCTGTGATGAAAATTGCTTGGTATAAGCAAGCCAACCACATACATTTCAGTAGTTCGGTTAGGTTAATGTGGCAGTCAGTCCAAAAGACCAACTCACTTATACCCTGCAGGTCCATTGCGATACCACTGTGAAATTCAGAAACCTCATTGACTTCATTTCATCGAACCATTTTAAAGCTCTTATGAAGCGTAGGTTTGCTTTTATTCCTACATCGGATAGTTCCGTGAGAGAGTTAAGGAATTGCTTACATAAAAAGTCTGCTCTGCTCTTAGCTAAAGCTGGGCAACTGCAAAAGAAGTGTTCGACTGCTTCTTCCTTTTCGTCATCTCTACAACTTCTTCAAAATACATAAATACAATAGGCCTTTGAAATATCCTCTCTTGCGAGCCTGAGCAGTTCTTCTGTTATTTTTTTCTATTAATTTGCCGCCGTAGTAGCCTAGCTGTTCCACAAGTGCCCTCATCTAACCACGACCTATTGGCCTCATGGATAATGCCATATCTAATTATTAATTTGCAGCCACCCCCTTTGTGGCTAGAACGTACGGATAATTCCAATCCGAATTCCTTAGAGAAATCTCCATATTCAACTCTATTGTACAGCGTAGATCCATCTGTTCAAAAATTTATTTCCTTCCTTCTCCATGATATCGGTGTTTACCACTCTCTTTTTGACGGGATTTTCGTCATGAAGAGCATTTCGAAGGTGAGTTCAGCGGCGGAGTGGTCGGTTCCTTGATCACAGGTATCTAGAGAGTGAAGTAGCAGAAGCGTGGCTAAACCGCATATCATTCCATAGCTCCATGCTTTTTAGTCTGAGTGCCGAAGCGGCGGCCACATGTTTTCCTCATATATTTACAGCTGGCAGATTTGTTATCACTTCTAGCACTTTGTTTGGGGTGGTCCTTAAATAAATTTCGGTAGCTCAAATTAAAAAAAGAAATACTCAGACATATATAGCTGATTTTACAAAAGTTGATACGTGATTTCCTCGCGTATTCAGTTTAAGTAACAGTGCTTTTATATGGTAGATCCCATTTAATGCCTACTTAAGAACTTAGTGAAAAACAGGATTGACTATCAAGGCAATGCACCCGACCACGTACATTTTGCCTATTATGGACTGGAACTAGTACACTCTGTTCTTCAAAACTGGGCTCCAAACACTTCAGCATTTTTGTAGACTTATGAAATAGTCAGCTTTAAGATGAGTAGGTACATGTTTTGATGTCATGAAAATTTTCGTGTTGCCAACGTGTATATTTTTCCCTTATGAAGAAAGCAGAACGCCGTGAAACTTTGGCCCTTGCATACAAAAACAAAAGGAAGTAAAGAATCGTACACGAAAGGCCTATCGATTCAAAACATCAAAAAGGAAGCGCCATTAGGAATCACTTGATTTCATATTTTGCCGACAGCGTAAATTTATGAATGTCACATCATACAAAATAAAGATGTTTGTAATTTCAATATCCTCTGACTTGACAGCTTACTTCGAGATACTTTTGGGGTCATAAAATTGTTCATACTTTCCACGTCTCAATACAACCCAAATCACAACTATTTCATTAATGACCCGATTTTAAGTCTTTTTGGACCTTTAAGCGGGTCATAGAGCATCCACCACGCCTGCGCACCAGCTAGTTCAGTTTGTGGCAATCGCCTTGATTTCCTTCCAGCTTAACCTGAGTTGTTTCTCCAAATCCAGATTCGCAGTTTCAAGTGTCCGAACAAACACTGTCACGAACCACAAGCCTGTGCTGGCACACTTAGAACTTTAAATATGTAGGCCTGCCACTTTAGCTTCTCTTTGTAGCGCGTTGCTCATTTTAGACCGATCAGAAAGTCGTCAGCGTAGTCAATGTGCTGTACATGGTCCACCGAAGTCCGCAGTCGAGGAGGGGCCTCAAGGCAGCATCCAACACATTTCCCATCAGCAAAAGGAAGAGAAAAGGTGAGAGTATGCAATCTTGTCGAACTAAGCTGCACACAGTCGAAGACAGCACTGTCCTCACTTGTTTTTAGTTTAGTTTTAGAGGTCTATTGAAAACCCATTGTGTGAAAACGTTTATTTAAAAGTGATATTTGAATTAAAGACTAGTTAATTTTATGATCTTAACTGGAACTAATACTGAAACATTCGGCGCCGTCAGATGAAATAACATATTCTATTTGAATACTTAATAGGAAAAAACAAAGCCGTAAGTAAAATATATAGAGAGTTGCATACGTGAATGACCTAATCCGTCTTATTGAACCCTCGCAGAGATTATAAGAAGCCTGCATTGCCAAAAGTAGCCCACAGTGAGATACTTCTTCCACTGTTTCCTTGTTCAGAAGCATACAATTTCGAAGACCTCACTGTTTGGCTATGAAAAAGCCGTTGGCCTACCTAAACGGTACTAGTGATCATCCAATATAATATATATGTACATATAAATATGTACCTATGTAAAGTAAGTAGATATGTATGTGCTTTAAAATACGAGTATATGCAGCGCTATGCGGTCAGTCACCACTTAAATATTTAATGTTTTCCTTTTGAATGCGTATTAATCTTCATAAAGCTCGCATACTTACTCAAGATTTGAACGCCAAATGACTAGCGCCACATACAAAGAAACTGAGAATAGCGCCACAAAGACGAGCACCATTGTGAGTATCATGTGGCTGGGTTTAACGGTATCGTCATCGTCATCGTCCTCATCATCTTCAACGTCATCCTCCACGTCTTTGGTTTTTTCTCTGTTCACTTTCTCATTGGTAGCAGCACTGCCACCGTTTACTTCGATATTTTCCGCTGCGAAATTATCGGTGTCCATTTTTATGGCAGGTCCCCTGTAATTGTATTGTACATAAGTATGAGTGGTTTGCTTGCTTAATTTGCCATTAAACTTCTTTTGATTTGTAATTACCTAAATCGTTCCTCCAGCTCTACAGTTTCCCTATTGATATCTTGTACTTCTAGCACCTCAACATCGTATTTTAATTTTTGACCTTCATTTAGGTCGACCACTAAGCGTAGAGAGTCCTCATCGTAATGTGTAAAACTAGATGATTCGGTTTTTTCCTATGATTTGGGTAGAACAAGAATAAACATTAAATTAGTGTTAAAAAATTTGCATGCGAGAAATTATGTATTTTTTTTTTACAAATATTTACATACGCTTCGGCCCAGTTCGTAAATGCATTACTGCGGCATTACTAAGACAGTGTTTCAAATTAAAATNTTTTTTTTTTTTTAGTAAATTGTGCAAAAATGTTACACGAAAAAATTCCCCTTTACAAATATTTACATATATAAATTGCAAGAAAATTGTACAAAAATAATTGCCTTTATAAAAATATTTCCACCGCTGCAGCTATACCAAAAACCGATATTTATTGCAACGATTTATAAATAAATTATATGGGTTTATTCGCGATTATTTTTGGAACTTATGTAAATATGTACATATGTGCGTAATTTATTTAATGAACACGTATTGTGAACAAACCGATACAAGCGAGGAAGCAGCAACAGATGCGCTCACAAATTGTTTTAACTGATTTTATCGATATGATATGTGTTCGCCAGCAACAGAGCAATTAATTTAAGAGCCGAAAATAAATTAAATAAACAAAGAAAGAGTTTAAAATAGTTTGGTTACAATTTGACGGTAAACGATTTATTAGCTTGTAAATCCAGACAGCAAAGATAAATGTGCTTTAGGCGGTCTTACTTATATTTAGATGTAATGCAATAAAATAAGAACAGAGAAAGTATACTTCGTGACATAATAAGCGGAAATGTTCCAAAGAAATGCGGAAAATAACATTTAACATAACATTTAGTAATACAGAGATTTTCAATTCAATACACTGTAAACAAGAAATTTTGAACAAAAATTACAACGGACATCAATGCTGCAATGTTAATTTCTTCATAACACAATAATCAGAAGTAAACTAAATTAATATGAGAGCACCATTTAGGTACCATCTTTCCGATAAAAATAATCGAAAACGGTTCGCGTGATCCAAAGTTATACCACTTTCCCACCGCACCGTAAATTAATTTGTTCGCTCCCCCCAATTATGATCGCGAATTATTACCTCATTCGTACGCGCACATTCTGAATTCAATTTGACAGTTCTCTGTCTCTGTGTTTTGTTTTTTTTTCTTCGCTAAAAATATATAAATTTCTGTATTAAATTAGTGATGCACACTTTTATTAACTTGACTTTTAGTACTTAGACAAAGTGCTAGTTTTGATTTGTGAACTGGTTTCGATAAATTTCCGATTAAAATGGTAATGGGATCTCAATTACCAACAAATGAAATATTACGAAGAATTGATAACCTCCACCTTTTTTGAAGTCGATTAAAAAGTGCGATTTTAAATAAATTTCTATAAGTACAATACATGCTAAACTACATATAAAGGTAGACAGGACATTTTCCAGCGCTCTGACAGAGAGAAATAGGAATAGTTAATGAGTTATATGAACGTTATATGAAATGTAGCAAAAATTTTTTTAGCAATCCAATTTTTCTATAGGGGAAAAAATTTTCATCGTAGAAAACGGGACAGCCCCTTAGATTGAAAAACAATTTTTTTAACCATTCTAATGTACATACATACATGTGCATATACGCGTAATACCTAAATACATATATGTATGTAAGCACTTTCAACATTTTCTGACGTACACATGCAGTTAACACAAAAACCGCAAATTCCAAAGTGATTCCCGCGTAAAAATATTCATTCATATGCGGTCTGTAGGCTGTGCACTATTGTAGACATACAAACTTACATATATCCCAGCCAGCAAAATGACCGTACCCGACCAGCATTTGAACAATTGTTCGGCTATTTATAACATGCCAAACGCATCTGCGAGTCAGTCGCATAGACAAATCTTGGAGGACACTTCATGTCCGCAATAAGAAAGCAGTTCATGCTATTAAAACCCCTTTAGTATTCAGTAATAAAAAGTGTGTAAATATGACATGTTTGCTATACATTTTTTATTTACCACGTGCATTACAGCAGTGCTCGTCAAAGTGGTGGTCCGCGGACCGGTGCCGGTCCGTAAGCCATAAGTCGCCGGTCCGCAAAGGGCGTCGCGAAATGGATAACGATTTTTTAAACGATTATATATACATATACGACTATATGTATACTCCACACTTCTAACCATGGTACAATTATCTACATGGTAGAAGCACTAGAAATTTCACGTCCGAGATGTCCAAATATTAAGTCAAAACACAAGCGAACACACAAACGAACAAAGCAAAGTAACCTAGTTTGACATCTCCAACACAAAATCACCTGTTCCACGAATAGGTACAGGATGGATACGAAATCCATTTATTGCTTCGAAGGCTGATCTGGCCGTCAATTTGNCAAAGTGGTGGTCCGCGGACCGGTGCCGGTCCGTAAGCCATAAGTCGCCGGTCCGCAAAGGGCGTCGCGAAATGGACAACGATTTTTTGATGTTTTATATTACTGTTTAATGAGGCTATATACAACTTGTATAATAAAAACAACTTAAATTTGTTAAACATTCATAAAAAATCGCTAATATCTGCTATCATTAAATGGTAATAGGACATATATAGACACCCGGCTAATAAAGAAATTCATTTAAACAAATTTTAATACATATATGAGATGATCGTAAACGAAAAATAATCAATAAAAAAAGGTACCGGTCCCCGACGTAATAGAAAAACTGCAGCCGGTCCGTCACACTCAAAAGTTTGACGAGCACTGCATTACAGCGATTAGCAAGAGAAATCCTCCACGATTACTTGTGCGCTGAGGAGGATCAATATCGAGCCGCCTACGATTGAAAATGATGGCTAGACAAATGTGCCCGACAGCGGAGATAATCGCGGAAAAGCAAGATATTTCATATCTTTACTGATTCCATTCCCAAACGTTTTTCGGATGCGTAATTGGAAACCAAAGTGAGTAACCGGAACTCATATTCAAAAAAGTTTAAAAATCGTTTATTAAACGGTTACGCTTCCTGATTTTTTTCTGATAAGTTTTTTCTCTTGGAATGCGTTTCTTATTGCACTCCGCACATTCTTTTTGTTGGTTAGTGCACAATACGAAAAATTATCAGTTATGGAAAACGTTTTAGCGCCTTTTGAAGATAAGAAAAGCGTACGCAAAGCGCACGGTCCACAAAGCAAATGTTTATTTGCTGGCTGGGATATTGTGTACACATTACAACCTGTTGGTCAGGGAAATTCAAATGATGACGAAATAAATTCTACGCGATACGTTTGCATGAGTCACACATTATTCGAATTAAGCTTCGTAGAATCTCCAATGAATTAGGTTTAGTTGTTGTATTCGTATTTGCTGTTAAAATTCTGTCATTGCGACTGACATGCAAGTAGTCTAAAGTTGAGATTATCTAATCCATATGGAAATGTGTTTGAATTTGTCACGTTAGGCAGTTGATCGCTTGAAAGAATATAATTAATTGTTTATTTGGCATATTTCGACAGTTTTTGTTTGACAAATCTATTACTAGATAGTCACGTTCTGCCTTTTAGCAAATGCATATGTATGTATATAGTTAATTGTATTTAAAGGTAAATAGATAAACAAAATAAGAATAACGAAGTTAAATTTATTCATAAAGTCACGATCGTAAAAAATGCATCATTGACGGATTTCTTTATTATAACTAACTAGCCAATGCCCGCTTGCTTCGCGGCGCCTTTGCGTTGGCCAATGCAAAAATAGCGTTGAAAAGCGAAAACGATTTCTTAAGTAGTAAAAATTCTTACTGTAGGTTGAAAAGAGAACCCTCCTCAAACGTAGGTCATGAAAAGTAGCGATGTGATACCATATGGTATACTAATTCCTTTCTATGTCATGAGCTTTACCGATGATCTTATTTCCACCTGTGAGATCTCTGCCAAGCGCAGCTAATCTTCTTCTATAATCTTGCAACTACAACATTGGTCCGATGCATCAAGCTCTTAGCCTTATGTCATGTAAGGCGAAAAAGTCCCTAAAGGGATACTGGTGAGTACAGATGTAAGTTTTTGTTATAGGAGGGTCAAGAATCCTCGCCAATTTACAGGACGAACCATTTTTCCCTACACTGGCTAAATCGGTATTGTTTAAATGAAGCCATTGATATACTTACCGTGTTCTTTCTTGGAAGGATGTGGACGAGTCTTACCTTGCTAATTCGCCGCTATTACAAATCGTCTTAATATCCAGGCGTTCAGGGACATATATATATTATTCATTTTATTCATAGAACTGGACTATCACGAACACTGCGCCAACTCCTAGAGAAGTAACTACTCTATTAACCCGTGGTAGTGCGCATGGTAGTGCAGAGTCGAACCAGTCGGAAGCAGAATTGCGAAAACCTACGAAAGGGGCATCCATAAATGACGCAAGTAACTACTACTTTAGTAACTACTAGTAGTGCAGAGAGAGCCGATGATGACTACCGCCTAGGACAATGCCTTGTAAAAGTAATCGCTGAAATACCCGTCAAGTAGTCCCTCTTCCTCTGCTACCAGCAGCAGGTTCGAGATGAATACTTTTAGAGATGGATGGATTCTTATGAAGCAGGTAAGTGGGTTAAATATGTATATGTATTTTTTGTTTTGTAAATTTGTCATTAATGTGTTCTTTATTCAATTTTTAGAAAGTGATATTAACTTTGCCAAACTTAACTGCGTCCATTGAGAGGTCGTTCAGCATATGCATTAATATATTTCGGTGTGTGAAAACTTGAATGGCTTGTGCATGCTCAGCGTTTATCGCAAACTGGTTGAGGAAATGGGACATAAAACTTACAGAAAACGTTTTAAAGCGATTTTTTGAGGATAGCAGAAAGCTTATATTTGCTTAATCCCGAAAACATTTTTCCCCCTTATATAAACTCCTTTCACCCCTAGGTCGAAGGCTGGATACGCCCTTGGTTATGGATTATGGAAACACCCTTTGTCTGCTTCCAATGGCCGTCAATCAATGATTTTTAGGCATATATTTGTATAGATTGATTTTCTTTTATCACCACTGTATGACTTGTAAGTATGA